TCTTTACTAAGGTATTTTTACCACCTTCATTGTGTTTAATCATTAGTGAGTAAGGTATTTGTATATTTACTGATTTATTACTAAGGTATTTTTACCAACTCCGTTGTGTTTAATCATTAGTAAGTAAGGTATTTGTATATTTACTGATTCTTTACTAAGGTATTTTTACCACCTTCATTGTGTTTAATCATTAGTGAGTAAGGTATTTGTATATTTACTGATTCTTTACTAAGGTATTTTTACCACCTTCATTGTGTTTAATCATTAGTGAGTAAGGTATTTGTATATTTACTGATTCTTTACTAAGGTATTTTTACCACCTTCGTCATGTTTAATCATTAGTGAGTAAGGTATTTGTATATTTACTGATTCTTTACTAAGGTATTTTTACCACCTTCATTGTGTTTAATCATTAGTGAGTAAGGTATTTGTATATTTACTGATTTATTACTAAGGTATTTTTACCACCTTCGTTGTGTTTAATCATTAGTGAGTGTTTGTTTTTCTATTTTCTCATCCACATGTCTCACTGACCAAGAAATGTCTTTAAATGGTGATTTTTATATTGTTTTTTTTATTGATAAACATATGCAAAAGTGAACTCGGATTACCAGAAGGGAAGTGAAGTAATAACTTTGATGTAGAACCATTTCTTCTACTGTTAAGAGTTCATACGTGCTTGGTAAACATTATTATTTCAGCTCGATGGATTAAAAGAAGAGTATTAGCTTATACTTACTTTTTTTTTATTCCTCATATAATTAATAATAGTTTTTGGAAGAATAGATCAGCAAATACCTCATGTGAAGTGTCTCAGTTTATAAAATCCAGTTAGGTTGATATGTTAATAATGAGTTAACAATATTTCTGTTGATGTTTAACTTTATTTATATCCATATTTTAAAGCATACTTTACATGTGATGCAGAATTAGTGGGAGTACTTCCAGCACATGTGTGATTTAAAAGTACTTGACATCTAATGAGGTTTTCTTCCTGCCCTTAGTGACAGAGTTTAATACAGTCTGTTCTGGACGTGGGAAACTGGTTAATGGCCTCTGTGCTTGCAACAGACTAAATCTGGGCAACGTGTGTCAGTATGAAGGTGAGAAACTTTGACAAATGTTTATGAGATTTGACTCTATATGCTCTTGTAATATCCGTAATTCTTTCACATCACTAATTATTCAACCTTCTCGACTTGAGTGTTAATTGAGATACAAGTAGAGGAAATATTGAATTAAATAATGTACCGTGTTCTGTAACGTGAAGTACCACTGGTTGAAAATCATTACCATTCAACATCAGTCTCATTAAGTATTGTGTTTGAACGGTTTCTCTAAGAATTCTATACCTGGGTTTTATAGATGAGTGCTGGTCTGATGAAGATTGTGGCTCTCATGGTAAATGTATTGATGTCAAAGCAACTACTTATCCCAAGATGCAGTGTTTCTGTCAGCCTGGTTGGTTTGGTGAAAAGTGTGCTAAAAGTAAGTGGATGGTATTACAAGTGTTTTTTGTTTAGTAATGCTAAATGTCATTGTTAAACTAATTGACCAGTTCAAAAGAATGAAATGTTACCCTTAGAAATCGACTTGATCCCATTGCTTCTAATATTTATAACTTATTTTGAAGGACTTGTTTAAAAAAAAAGTATTCATCTCGTGGTGAAAAATAAGTCATCTATTTGTTCCTTCCCCCACTTTTTAGTAAAAAGTAGTTTACATTTATTTTTCTTTAAAGCACTAGCTTTTATTAAATATATATATACATGTCATTAGATTTAAATAAAACATTTAGTAGAATATGTGATATATATCTGAGAACATGTACTCTCTTTTACCATCAGAGTCTTCTGTGAAAACAACGTCCGTAGACCTCAGCCAGTATACCAGTAAAGATATTTACCTTAAGAATCCTCCAATAGAGCATGTATTTATCAGACAATTATATGTTTAGATTTGTTTCCAAGTTAATTATTTACTGTCATGTTGTGGTGATTTGGATATTAATAATTGTCATGTTTATTAGCCGATACAGTCATTTGAATCTAAGTATTAATTACCTTACCTTTAGTAGTAACAGATGCGAGTTAGAAAACAGTTCGTATCCTACATTTTGAAAGAGTGATTTCTTGAGTGATTAGGATAGCACACTTTTCGTACTAACAAATGTCTAGGTTTGAATCCTAGCTCCTGCCAACACATACAGTCTTTGTCGGCAGATTATTAATTGTAACATAGGATATAAACTAATTAAACTTAAGTGATTGTGTAGACTACTAACCATGACAATGATACTTGCAGTATTGTATGACTTCATTTATTATGGTTTGTATTATAAACTATTTACATCTTCTGATGTTCAGGAAACAAACGAAATAGAAGCTGTTTTGCAAGCAGAAAGCACGAGTTACTTGGCTGTTGGTTGGAGACCACAAGGAATAACATCCAACTGCAAGGCATTTCCAGTTGTTGATAATAGAAGAAGCAATCAGCGATCTCTTGAAACCGATGTAATTAAGATACAGCAGGTTGGAGATCACAAGCATAGTGAAGAAGATGTTAAAGGTAAATTAAAGCAAAATATTGAAGGGGAGCCAGAGCCGACCGCCGAAGGGAAGCCAGAGCCGACCGCCGAGGGGAAGCCAGAGCCCAGTTCTGAAAGAACATTAGAACCAAGAGCTTCAGAAACACCTGAACCACTTGCTGAGAGAACAACTGAAGCTACACCTGAATCTGACTTTGAAGATATAACAAATAACCATGATGAAAACATTATTTATCTCGCGTCTAGCTCTGCACCTGTGACAGAAGACAGTAAGACTGCTGTTGTTGGGGTTCCATTGGGTGTTGGGCCAAGTGATGGTTTGGAGAGAAAACTCTTTGTTTTCAATAATCGTTTTCCACGACAAGCTGTATTGCTCTTTCCATCAGCTTCGGGAAATAACTCGGAGCCTCGTGCTGAACCTAAAACTGAAGCAGGTATACAACATGATGATCATGCTCATTCAGAACCTGAGCCAGGTACCCTTGGAGAACCTGAACCAATTAATTCTCAAGATCAAACATCTACTACTGATGCCGATTCCAAAAGCAAATCTTTACATTCATATCCATCCCCCACAAGCTATACGCCAAAATTTGAGTTGCATCCAATGGACTGTTCAGATATAGTAATTGGTACAGTAAGGGGAAATCTGAGCCGTGTGTTTGACTACTATACTCGTGATCGATCTACGCCACGGGTAGACAGTTATTATGGGGGTAGTGACACACTTACAGCAGCAGTGGGATTTGAAAAAGATGGGAAAACAACAATACTGTTTAGGAAAAAAATTGAAGGTGAGGTACGAGTTAAATTACTGTCCAGTGAATTTTGAAAAAAACATTAAAGAGTTTCTTGTAAAATATCGGTAGAAATGTTTATTGATTAAAAAGAAGAAATGAAAATAAATTTAATTGTAGCGTATATGCATTTTGTGGAGTGTATTATTATGGACAAACTTAGATGCCGTATTACTAGGTTCTTGAATATGTATATTTTATTTTCTATCAGTTCCATTATATAATAATTCAAAGTTTAGATGTTTCTTTTCTTCGAGTATTAACTCACTTCATGTTAAAGTCCTGCTAGTCAGCTTTATTTTTTCATTTCAGCCTTACCATCTTTTATTGTCTTTTAAAAGTCGCATCAACAGCCTCTCAAAGTTAGATTTACTGGATAACCCCTTCTAGGGAAAAGAAACAAGAAAACCTACATTATCAGAACTATACAATATAATCTTTTGTCATCTTTCAAATTCAAAATACCAAAAATGTGATATATTAGGCTTCAGACAATCTTTGTTTCATTTCTGAAAACAAAACTGCACCAGTTTTTATAAATATCTCTGTCTAATATGCACTTATCTTTGGAAACATTACCATCCAGAATTTCTACTTATGATTTAAAAGTGTGTATAAAGATTGTAGAAATTAAATATGTAGATCTTTTGGAAACTTAAGTACTGATTTTTATGGTTTATATACATCAGAGATCTCGTCCCTCTGGTAGTAGTCTTCAAA